ATTTATACCGTATTTGAAAATATGAATAAAAAAATACTATTTAAAATATATTTTAAAGCTGCCAAGTGCCTTTTAAGGCCTTGCCTTCATGGAATTATGTAAATACTTTATATTAATCCTATAGTGAGGATTTAGGTCTCTCTGTTCTTGAAAGACGTGCTTCTTTTCATAATGATAGGTAATTTTTTTGTGATTGAGTAAGGCCATCCAATATTGTAATGACAATTCAATGTTATTGGTAAAATTTTTATGTAGACACTTACAGGTAAGATGTGCTAGCAATACTGAAAACACAGAATTTATTTTTCTGAATGTTAGCTGACATCACTCACAGTTGGCATAGAAAGGGGTGAATAAAAGCTTCTTTATGTATAAATATGTACTTGAAAGTGATTTTATTGATCTCGGACAGTATTTGATCATACTTCTGTGTTTTTAATTAGTTAATGTATTTGATATTTTGATGCGAACCACGAGCTAGCAAATATCACGTAAGTTACAGTTTGTTCTAGAGAGCAATAAACTGTTCCTAAGTTTGTTGGATTCTTTGAGGCATGACTGCCTTTGTCCAGAAGGTGCCTGCTATCTGCTTTTTTTTTTCCTTTTTTGTATGTGTAGCACACCTATGTTTATTCTTCAGAGATGACTGACTTTTTACACTCTCGTATATTTTACAGCTGCTTGTAAAGAATACTTTCTCAAGCATTATTTCACTTCAGGAAGAGGCACATGTTTGTTTGTTTTTCCTGAACTTCTCATCAGAATGCTGCTAGGAGCAGTGTCATGGTACAGTAGTGAAGATAGGTGTGTTTTGCTGCTTTACTCCTCCCATGTATTCTGTTTGTGTGAAGTTTGCTTGTACTCAAAAGCACAGCACGCTACCGTCGCTGTGAGTTTGGAGGCCTGTAGTAAGAAGGGACCAAAAATGGAACAGTTGGCAAGACCTAACACAAGAAGGCTGGAGGCTTTCTAGATGTAAACTGTTGAACAGCAAAAATGATGTTGGGATTTTCCCCTCTGCAGAAAGAGGAAGAGAAATGGGTATACTGAGATCAGGGAAAAGTGCTTTAATACTGAGTTTTCCAGTGCTTAAAAGGAATTAACAGCATTTTCCAAAGCTAGTTAGCTCTGATGCCACTTAGTAGTACTGTTCTAGATATAGGCAATAATCATCACAGACACTTTGGTGGGGGGGGTGAGCCCGGGCAATAACACTACTTAGTTTTGTGGGCAAAACCTGCATTATTCTTGTAGTTCTTTTCTTCTTGGGGTTCTTTTGGTTGGTTGGTTGGTTTTGTTACTTTTGTTAGTTTGTTTTTTGCTTATTGGCCTTCTCTAGAAGGGCAGTTCATGGATGTATTTCTTGTCTTTGTATTGCACGTGGTAGGATGTGGTACCTATTGAAAAAATCAGTTTCACACGTGTGGGTAGAATCATGTTTATGGAAAGATTCTATCCCTTAATTAAATAAATATAATGATGGGGAGTAATATTCAATTTACTGTTTGAGACATGATGATGCTTGGTGAAAAGCAGTGCATGAAATGGTAAACCTTACCCAAAAGGTGATTTTTTGGAGACTAGAAATAATTTGCACATTGGTATACCACTGGCAATCAAGTAAAAGTACATAATAAATTCATTTTAATTAAATTTTTTTTTAAGAAATAACCATACAAGAAATGGACATTTACTCCAGCATTTTCCCATCATTCTTAACAATTTATTTCTATTATATATTATTTTAAAATGTTACTTGGTTTTGAGTATTTTCAAGTAACTATCTATCTATCTAATGTATTCTATCACTTTGTCAGATTCAACTTATTCAAAACCGTTCTTAAACACTTTTAACTAAAACTTTAATTTCCCTTTTCTTATTTACTTTTAATCCTTATGTGTTAATCTACTGTGCTTCTGGTGAACCATTATGGATTAGCAATGACATATATGAATGAATATTATTTTTAATAGTAGTGCTTTCCAACTGCTACAGTCATCTCCTTAAAAAATATATATTTACAGTGTTAGTATATGATTCAGTTTCAGCTATGCATTTCTAGTAAATACGCTTGTCAAGAAAATAAGGAAGGATGCTGTATCTTCTACAGTAATGAATTCCAGCAAACATAGGAACAAGCCAAAAATTTTTCCCTTTCTTTGCTGATTAAAATGGTCCGTTCTGGATAAGTCTGTTCTCCATTCCTTAGCGCAAGAAGCCAACTTCTGCTTTGGTTTCTATTATCTTACTGTCAATGAGGGAAAGACAGAAGGAAAGAAACACCTGTGACCTATTGAAAAACACACTAAAGGCAAAGAAATTTAATTCTTGATTTCTAAAATTGTATCAAATTTCCAACTCTTATTTAAATAGTATTCAGAAACTAATTAATTTGGATTGTTACTATTATTTTAGAATAAGGTGTTAAATAACGTTGCCATATTTATCTGGTTGTAGTACCTTACAATTTAACTAACAGTCTAAACTTTATAACAATATAAACATTAACGGTTTGCTTGAACTGGAAATCTCATGAGTTGTGTTCCTTGTAGAACTATACGAGTGTAATCATCCAGCTGTGAGAAAGATTTCTGTGAGGGGCAATATGAGTATATAGTTCCATACATCTTATTAACATTACTGCGAGTTAAATATTACACAAATTTTGAGGGATTACTGAAACATATGTCTCATAAAGTTCAGCCCTGTCTCCAGATTTTAATTAATATTGCCTTTAAGAGTGCTCTTATAAGAGTTCTTTGTAGCAGTGATTGAAAGATCTGCCAATTTTGGCACTACTATAAATAATTAAGCATGGTATCTGTGAAGCACATATCAAATTTCCACTTGATTTTTTATTAGCTTCAGGAATTATTTAGAGCAAGAAGGCAAAGATTTTATTATCTGTACACATGTATACATCTGTGTGTGTGTGTGTACATAGTTATTAGCCTAAATTTGGGTTGAAATAAAATAGGTTAATACACCTATAGAAACTAACTGTATTTTGTGTGTCACTACATATTCATATGACCTCATTTAAAGTGAATAGCCTTGCACACCTAGCATGCTCTTTTCATTACGGAGAATAGAATCATTCTGTCTTCTCAGTCAAAAAAGAAAAATGCAATTATATTTAAAATGTTCCTCATGTGGGTCTAAAGTTCTTTGCTACATGTAGAAGCATAGCAAAGAACTATTAGAAGTGTCACAGTGTAGTCTTGAGGAATGAAAATATATTGCTGCACGTGGCCTGTTGAGAATCTCCCATTTTCTAATCAACTGGGACAGCTTTAGGTTCACTGGGGTGAACTGTTATTTTTGCAGAGCATGTGATTCATTAAACATATAGGGGCAAATGCAACTTTTTTTTTTAAGCCATTTATTTTAAATAATAACAATTACAGCAGTGATATGGTAATTATGTTTCAGTGTTAGCAGATGTACTGAGAAAGTCATTTAGTGAGAAAAATGTAAGCAAAGCAATTATATTTGCATAAAAAATGCATCAGAATAACACAAGTCTACAGATAACTTTATGGGCTTTATATGTGATATGCATACCTCTTCTAGAGTGTGTATATACGTATTTAAAACTCTAAAGAAAATTGAAGAACCAGATGACTCAGCCCAGTAACTCAAGAGAGAAACATGTCATGAAAGGATGGACAGGGCAAACAAATAAATTAAAATGAGACACCTTGCTGAAGTAGTATGTGCAAGGTAGTGTTTATATTTGGGTTTTTTTACATACTGTGTACCTAACTAATGATACTTTTTTCTCCAGGACCACTGATCCACTGTTTTTCACATAAAATGTGAAAAAACCTCCAAAATCGGTGATTATTTGTATTGGGACTAAAACATCTAAGTAATATGATTTTTGAATGAAAGTTTAACATCAGTTACTTGTACAAGTTCTTTGAGGTCCTCAATAAGTTTATATTTTTGAGAAGACAGACATCAAGTGCAATGGATTTTGGTCCTACACTAGGAATCCTATGTGATACAACAAAACAAATAAATATAATTTATTCTTATGAAACCACAAATAATTTATATCTTTTGAATTTTGTCTGCTCTAATGGAAATTCATGTTTTCAAGTATTTTGAGGTTAGTTAAAAGAAGTAATCATAGTTCTCCCTGCTCCAAAGCACATTTCTGGTGTTACTTTTTATCTGTGATCCAGAAACACATCAAATCAGAAATGTAGTGAATTTACGTAATCAGTCACTATTTTGTCACCTTGTATGTCAGTAGCTTTCTAAATGCCATAGATCAACTATCTATTTTCTTGGCACCAAAAAATTCTGGGATTTCTCTACATTTGATGCATGCACATGCTTTCAGAATAGGGTGTCTATTTCATATTTGTCCAGATTAAAAAAACCCAACCAAGCAAACAAAAAACCAAAACTTAATTTCCTGAAGAGGTGTGTTGCTGGGATTTCTTTTAAAAATATGAATGCATTAAAGACCTTTCAAATCACAAAATTCCAAACTGTACTTTTTAGTTTAAGAGAAAGGTTTTAGTATAGTGCTAAGTTGACCTGGTTGTTTTGTGTTGCATATTATTTAAGAAATCGCATCTAGTACAGAACTTACTATTCTGCTTGACACCTCAAAATGATTTAGCATGTATGGAATTTCTATAATGAAGAACAGAATCTAAAAGAGGTGTGATAATTTAAAATGAAAGGGCTATCACTAATATCTCAGTAATACCGTAATCTCTGAGTACTCTTGCATCTCCTATCTTTATTTCTGTGGAGAGTAGATGATAAGTTTGTTATACTTTTGCATGGATTAATGTTAGTACCTGCCATTTCAGACTAGTGAAGTGTGAGTAATCTGTGTCAGAAACCTCAATTATTTCTTGCATTTGTCCTTAGAAATTATTTTTAATTGTTTCTAGGTTATGGACTGGATATTGCATTGTTATAAGCTTGCATAGTTTTAAGCAACTAAAGGATGCATTCTGTTGTATATCTATACTAGCAAACAGTTCCTGAAGATACAACCTTTGTGGTGACCGAAACTATGACTGTGGAAACCACTTATGTGCCTTCTACATACCTGGCAGAGATCCTTCACCTTCTGCAAGCCTTGTCTGAAGTAGAAGAGCGCCTTAATTCTCCTGTTCTGCAGGCTAAGGATTGTGAGGATCTCTTCAAACAAGAAGAGTGTCTTAAGGTAAGGTAGAAAGATTTTCTTACAGTGATTGATTCCATTATTTTTGGGCTTCTGTATATTGGCTGGCTGAACTCACTCTTAGAGACATGTTTTATCAGTGCTTAGCCCCTCTCTGCGATGTGTGCATATTTTGACGTTTATATATGAAGGCACATTGGTGCAAAACAGAAGAACATTGAAAAGTTAGTTTATTTTTAACTGTTTCACCTCTGTTTGGAAGACATGAGCATTAGGCTATCTTGAGAGTAAATCCTGGGAAAGAATAGGGAGGAGCAGTTGTGTTTAAAGTTATGAATTTGTGGTTCAAGTTTAGTTTGTGTGTTTGTAATTTGAAGTAATTAGTAAGTAACCCTATCCACTCCCAATATTGGCAGCTATTTTTAGTATTTGATTTAAAAATATTTTTTATTGAAACAGCAACAAAACCAAGTAAAATTTCTCCGTTCCATTCTATGCTAGTTCAAAAAAAAAATCTTGAATTCTGGTAGGGGCTGTATTCTGTGCAATTCTCTGTTTAATTATCTAAACAGAAAATACTGTCCAAAAGGTAGCTCATGTAGTTAAGAAAAAGCTAATTCCATATTGTTGATTTGACTTTAAATAGCACTGTCTGGTTTCCTCATTACTTGCAGCAGTAACCTGGTGGAATTTTTCCAACACAGAATTGACATAAAAAACAAGAAGATTAAAGTTGTTAGCCACAGTAGATGAATGAGTTACCAGCTTTTGCAGGATAATGTTTGTGTGAGGAAAGCCTTGTAAAAAATCATGTTTAAGTGCTGTATTTAACTACAGCAATTTCAAATTGTTATCCAGCATGAAGAAAAGACCACATTTCCATTTTTCTATAATTATTTTGGGGGAGGAAAGGTTTTAACAAAAGTAAATGTTAGTCTAATGTCGTGGTTTAAGCCCAGCCGGTAACTCAGAACCACACAGCCGTTTGCTCAGCCCTCCCTGCCCCTCCCCCACCGCCTCCAGGCGGAATGGGGAGGAGAATCGAAAGAATGTAAACCTAACAGGTTGAGATGAAAACAATCTAGTAACTAAAGTATAATACAAAACTACTACTACTTGTAATAATAATAACGGTAAGAGAAATATCAAGGGGAGAGAATATAAAACTAAAAAGGGAAAGGGAAAAAAAAACAATAAACACAAATGATGCACAATACAATTGCTTACCACCTGCAAACTGATACTGGGCCTGACCCAAGCAGCAATCTGCCCCATCTGGGTGACTCCCCTCCCAGTTTCTATACTGGGCATGACGTGCTGTGGTATGGAATACCCCTTTGGCCAGTTTGGGTCAAGTGTCCTGTCTCTGCTTCCTCCCGGCTTCTTGTGTCTCTCCTCACTGGCAGAGCATGAGACTGAAAAGTCCTTGATCAGGGTAAGCAAGCATTACTTAGCAACAACCGAAACATCAGTGTGTTATCAGGTGAAGCTGAAATACAGCACTGTACCAGCTACTAGGAAGGAGAAAAATAACAGTTACAACTGAAGTCAGGACATCTAAAGATGCCGATGTTTGCCTACAGTACTAGAGGAAAGAAGTTTAGAGGGAGAATTAGGGCAGGGGCTCTGGCTAGGTCCTCTGTAGGAGCCAATTTTTAATCCTTTTACCACTTCTGATTTAGTACAAGTTGATTAAAGTGGTTCTGAGTATTGAAGCACACAACATGCCAATGTTACTGTCATTCTTCATTTTAAATAAGCCCTTTTGATAGAATGACTCTTTTGCACAAAAAAAGTAAAGTCATAGACCATGTAAATCATGGCTAATGAGCTACCACTTGGTCCTTGTCTATGAACTTATGTTCATTACTAGACTGGATGGAAAAACAGTGACCTACCCCAAGCAATTTACTGGCAGTTGACTTCCTGTGATTCTTAATGCTTACAGTGGGCTATCCTTATCTGATATATTGTCGTGGTTTAAGCCCAGCCGGCA